AGAGCAGAGTGACGGTGGACGTGGAGCGCAGCATCCCGCCGCGGGCGCCGGCGGCTCGGCGCGCAGCTCGCCGCAGTCGCAGCCCCACCGGCCCGCACCGCCCCCGCGCAGGGCGGGAGCCGCGCGCTTATTCGGCGGGGAGCAGCGCGGCCAGCCGCCGGCTGCCGCTGCGGGATGCTGCGCTCCACGTCCACCGTCACTCTGCTCTCGGGCGGCGGCGCCAGGGCGCCCAGCAGGAGGGTGAGTAGCCGGGGGGCGGGCGCCGCCGCCGTCCCGCTTCCCCGTCCCGGCCGCCTGGCCGTAGCGGGGTCTGGCTTTGGGGACGCGCGGGACCCGGTCCCCCGGCCTCGACCTCCCCCCGCCCCCGGACTCAACTGTCCCGTCCTGTCCCAGCCCCGGCCGTGATCCTTCTCTCGACGTCCAGACACCGGCTCGTAGGGCTTAGGGGACTTTCTGGAATTCCCAGAATTTTCCTTTCCTTCCTGCCCCCTCTGGCCGGCCACGTTTATTGGTGGCACGAGTTTAAAAAGCAAGGGGAAAAGATTCCTGCAGTGTCCCTACCTGAGACTCAAAGAGAATGAATGTCTTTAACACCCCAACTTGCCTCTTTTCAGCGGTTAAAAGAAAAGGTCACTTGTCCCCACTGGTGATAGAATAACACCTATTCTGGAGTGAGCTTAGCCAAGGTGTAGGCTTCACCTTACAGGAGAGATCAACAGCTGGTTCCCCAGGAGCCCAGTAGTATGGGATTTGGGTTTCTGCAAATCACTTTCTTCATTCGGGTTTAAATACCAGCACAGTGGTAGCAAGGGGAGCCCTGGGAGCCTTGGGCACCATCTCCAGGGAGGCTGCCCTTTAGAAGCGCTCTGTTTCTCTGTCACCTTGGTTGCATTTTTCCTCCCCTCTCCAGATGCGCTGTGAAGGATGCTCGGCACATGTAGGTTGCATCTGTCGGGTTCTGTATCTCTTCCAAGATCAGCGCCTCAGAGTGCACCGCCAGGAGCTGGCCTTGTGGCTGTTTAGTTCATCCATTCCTCATAGTATTCATGGAATCTACCACTTGGTGCCTCTTTTCTGTGGTTGAGACTTCTCTAATCATGTTTCCCAAGTTTTAGCTAAACAGATGCGTAAGTCCAAGTCAGGACCCCCTTTGGCACTCCGGACTTCTAGTCTTGTACACATGCCTATTTGCGTTTCCATACCTCAAACAAGTGACTGGCGGTCACCTTCTGTGCTTTCTTAGCTCTAGAAGAAAGGCATTGTGTTACTTTTGGGTGTGGGCCAAGTGATGGATTCTGAGGGGGGGGGGGGGTGCGGGTGTGTGTGTCTGCGTGTGCATGCACGTACACCAGACCTGTAGGGTTGACAGAACCCTGGTTGTCCAGTTATTAGCTTTGCAAAGCAAGATCCCCATCAGGTGCAAGTGGGTTTCCAAGCCTTACTCCAAGACGGGCATTTGCCTTTTTTTCTATGGAAATCCTGCACAGTTGGAACACAGCTGTGATTGAGAAAGAATGAAGTCACTGAAAAGCCAGGCCTGAGCCTGGACAGAGTCATACATGGAACCAGATTGCATGAAAATGTCAAGTGCCCCTCCAGAGATGGGCAGCTAGAGTGGGTGGGTGCAGATGTGACTAGCACACTGAAGAACCTTTCTGAAGATTGTTTTTCTCAAATGTTTACTTTCAGGTATTTCTTTAGTTGTAAGTAGCACAGTGGACAGACAGACTGTTGAGAGGCTTTGTCTTTTGAATAAGACAACCAAAATACTTTGAGCTGGAGGGGTCAGGGTCAGGGACCTGAGTCAGACCACGTAGGGCTGTTCTGAGCACACGGGTACTGGCACACTTGTTCAGGAAAGAAGATATCTAAAAGTTCTAGGGTTCCCTTTATGATTTCCTCCGCTCATGATCTGCAAATGCCCCAGGTTCTGTCTATGTGTATATGTGTGGGGGGCATGGTGGGAAGATGTGATCCGTTGATTTATTATTTTTTTAAACAACATTTGTAGATATCCTTCTGGAAGATACAGGGCTAGGCATTGGGGTCCACTCTACCCATGGAGGCAGCCCTTGTCACAGACTACCATCGTACAAAATGAGGGTTGTTATAGTGGGGTACAGTGTTAACAAAGTTGGGTGAAGCTAAAAGGAAGGGTTCTTCCCAAAGCAACCGAGGAAGATGTCCCTCTTCAGGGGACATTTGAGTTTAGTCTTGTAGGGTGAATAGGAGTTTGTGGGGCAATCGACATTGGGATACCAAAAGGAGAAACTATTACTCATTTTAATGTAAGTCTTGGCATATACTGTATCATAATGGCATATTGAATTTGCAAACATTTTTTTTTTTAGAAAAACAAGAATGGGATGTCTTGAAAATAAAATTGTAGACCAAGTAATCATGAAAAGTGTTCCTGAAGTCGAAAGTAGTTTGTCAATAAACTCTGTCATCCTGTCTTTCCTCTTGGACGTTGGACAGGTGGTGGTCTTGGACGAGAACATGCTAGCTATCAACATAGTGTTTCTGCTTTATCCAAAGAGCTTACCAAATTAGGGACTGCGGGAGAACCAGGCTGTGTTGGTCCAGATATTCAAGCCAGCTAGACATGGTGGTGACAGCTGACACTGAGCAGGGAGTTTTCTGAGTCAGCCACCCAGGGTGGTGTAGCCAGACCAGACTGTCACTGGTTATCCCCTGTCCCATGGCTGCCACCTACCATTTATACTTCCTTATCTGAAATCATCTCTCAAAGGAAAAAAAAAACTGGTGGGAAAGTAATTTGTATCAGCTGATAAGCAGAGGCATTTATGGATGCCAAGCAGCAGGGGTTGTGAAATTAGAAAAAAAAAAATCTACCTTCAAACCAGTTGCGCACTGAAAATAGTTTTATCTATGGCAACAGCAGGAAGATAGACTGGCTGGAGAGTAAGGACAGCGTGATGCCCCTTAGAGAATGAGGGAAAACATTTCCAAAAATACCGACATCGCTTCACGATTTTGAAGGGAATTTTGCAAATGAAGTTAATCCCACTAAGTGAGCCCTTGAAATGAAAGGTCGGCTGTGTGGCCAGGTTGTGTGTGTTGAGGGGGGAAGGCACGTGTTGCTTCGTGCAGCCAAATGCTTTTGGTGAAGCTGTTTGGCTGGGGCGGTGAGAGACCGAGATCTGTCAGGGGTTTCCTCCAGCGCCACGCTGTCTTGATAATAAGAGATTGTTGGCTGGTGTTGCTGGTCATGGCCCCTCAGTGGCTCATAAAAAGGAAACCAAAACAGAAGCAAACCCAAAAAGGCCACAGGATAGGACTGTCTCCTACCCTGCTCTTGCTGATATTTCTTTCTATTTGGCAACGGCTTCCTCTGTCAAAACCCAATTGGCCTGCCAGTCCTCACTCCCTAGCTAACGCACACTCTCCTAGGTCCCATTTCTGTCTGATTGGCTCAAAGAATTTTCCTTAGCTGGCCAGTGAATGGGTCAGATTTACTTCCTTTTCACAGAAATATCTGTGTGCATAACTTGTCTATCAGTGGGCTCTGAGGAAGGGACGTGGCATTGTGGGACCTCGGTGTCTGGTGGAAGGAAGCTGGCAGCGGCACCCACCAGGGACGGGTGGGCAGGTGGCCCACTGCGCCCAGAAAGCAGGCTGGCTCCTGACCAGGGCCCCCTGGACCCGGCCCTTGACAGGCCAAGTTGCGAAGTTTTGGAGCCCTGGCATCCTCAGGCCTTAGCCAAGAAGCTTCTCTCACTAAAGTGTGACAGTTGCAGGCTGAGAAAAAACTTTCCAGCCTCCGTGCTTTGGTTCACCCAACTTGCCATGTCAGAAGTAGGACGAACAGACCTGAGTCTTGGGGACTCTTAAGGAAACTTGATTTCCTCAAGACGGCGAGCCCGTGGTTCTGCAGAGGATGTGGAGTGGGATTCTGGACCCTTCCGTGTCTTCAGTGTCCTGCAAGAGGGAGGGCTGCATATGTGGTCTGCATCACAGTTCATCTGTCATGAGCGCCCACTCCCGAACGAGAAACCCAGATGCCCGAGCTTCTGATCACTTGGAAAAGGCTTTCAAGTCAGTCAGCCTCAAAAATGGTCTAGTTGTGCTCGAGGAGCTGTGGATCCAGGGCTAACTAACCAGAGACCATGTTGAAAAGCTTCCACCTGAAATTACTTTCAGCCATTACCTGCGTCTTGGTCTTAGAGCTTCCTGTGGCCGGCTCCTCCAGCCTAAAACAGTTCCCGTGTTCTCTAGCACACAGAAGAGGGCCACAGGGGTATTTCCTTCTGTCTCGCTTTAGGTGAGTGATTATTTCCTAAATTTCAGTCATACTGCTGACTCTTATTTGTACTTAAAGGCCAGAGTGCCCTTTCTAAAATGCAAAATCCAGTCAGCTGATGACCCTGCTTCAGAAGCCCCCCTTGGTACTACCAGCAACAAGTACAAATTCCGTGCTAGAGCATCCAGGCCTTTCTCTCTGGCCTTTGCCTTCCTTGTCCCCCTCCCACACTTTGTCCAGATATTCCAAATTACTTGCCATTCCCCAAGCTTTCCATGCTGTTCTCTGCCTCTTTCATGGCTCTTTGAGGAAGGGTCACTTCCTCCAAGGAGCTTGTCTGAACTCGCCTTTTCCGTGTTTTCCTAGAGGCCTGTGCACCCGGTCATTGCTTGCATCATCTATGATTAACTACGTGAGGAGAGGGGTTAGGGACCCTCCCGCCCCAGGCCTGGTATAATTGGTGCTTAAGAAGAGGAGGATGTCACTGGGGTCCTAAAGGGGCCACACTTCACACTGAATTGGCAAACAGGAAACGAGGAAGAGAAGCTTGGGATAAAGCCAGCCCATCACCTCTGGCCCACCTGGGCAGGAAGCAGGTGACGGATGGGAGTGCTGGTCCAGGTGAAGGGTTTGACAGTTCTGGGAAGGCCTCCAAATAGTTCAGTTGCCTCATCCTGTTGCACAAGTTGGAGTTTCATTCCTTTGGTTAAGTCAGTGCTTCTCAACCCTGGTTATACATAGAATCACCGAGAAGCTTAAAATATCTATGCCCCGGCCCCACCCCAGACAGTTTAAATGTGTACCTCTGAAAGTAGAGAAGAACACTAGTGTTTTTCAGGAAGCTCCCCAGGTGATTCTAATGTGCAGCCAAGAATGCGAACTACTTCTTTAGTCATTGCTGTCTTCTTACAGCTTTCTTGGGAATACAGACACTCCTGGGACAGTGCTCTGGAAGGTCCCATTGGCTTTGTGAAAG